CTCTGTGCTGGGGGAGGCCGAGACCTGCAGGCAGGAGAGGCGGGGCGCGGGGGTGGACGGGCTCCTCACCATCTCAGTGATGGCCGCGTTGGAGTGCTGGGCAGCTGAGAAGATCATGGCCAGGGCTTCTGCAGACGGGCAGGGTCAGAGTTAGCCCCTGAGAGTCCAGGGCTGGCGGCTGGGACAAGAGGTCCTCCAGGCACAAAACGTGGCCTCAGGACATGCCACCACAGCCCCCAGGAGCAGCCTCCCTGGGCAGCCCGGCACATGGGGTGTGCAGATGGTGGGACACTCCCCGCCCCCCAGGTGGAGAGACAGGAAACCGAAAGACAGTAATTAGGCATTTGGCTTTGGGGACTCTTGCTGCCTCCCGAACCAAGCCAGGCCCAGAGGGTGGAGTGGAAGGAGCACGGGCTTTGGCATCATACAGGCATGGGTTCAAATCCTAGCTCTGCTCCCTTCTGGCTGTGCGACCTTGAGCAAGTCACTAAACCTCTCTGGGCCTTGGCTGGACAGTGTCCCATGTCTGTAATCCCAGCACATTGGGAGGCTGAGGTGAGAGGATGGCTTGAGCCGAGGAGTTTGAGACCAGCCTGTGCAACATAGTAAAACCTCATCTCTACAAAAAAATTTTTTTAATTAGCTGGGTATGGTGGTGTGCACCTGTAAGTCCCACCTACTCTGGAGGCTGAAGTGGAAGGACCCAGGAGGTTGAGGCTGTGATGAGCCTGACTCCACCCCCCCCCAAAAAAAAAACCAGAAAAAGAAGCCTCTCTGGGCCTTAGTGTCCTTGTGTGTGAAAAATGGCTAGACGGAAGGAGAATGTCTATGAAGTACCATAGATCAATGTTGACAACCATCAGAACCATTTTATTTACTTATTTATTTTATTTTAATTTTTTTTGAATTGGAGTCTCACTCTGTCACCCAGGCTGGAGGGCAGTGGCACATTCCCGGCCACCTCAGCCTCGACCTGATGAGTTCAGGCAATCCTTCCACCTCAGCCTTCCAAGTAGCTGGAACTACAGGCACGCGCCACCATGCCCGGCTAATGTTTTTATTTATTGCAGAGATGAGGTCTCACCAAGTTGCCAGGGCTGGTCTCGAACCCTAAGCCTCAGGCAATCCTCTCACCTTGGCCTCCCAAAGTGCAGGGATTATAGACGTGAGCCACCGTGCCCAGGCCATCAGAACCATTTTAGCAGGAACTCGATAAACACATGGGCCTGGTTGACCCGCTCCGCCCCTGCACCCCTGGTACTGTGCTCACTCTGCGCGTCGGCCTGGTCTGGGGCCTGGGCCGGCAGCTTCTGGACGTATTCCTTGAGCAGCAGCTCATAGCGTGGGATCCTCTGCACGGGTTCCAGCATGTGGTGCTGCAGGGTCAGACTGCCCGAGGCCTCGCTGCTCTTGGGGGGGGGTGAGAGCAGGGGCGGGTGAGGCTAACCCCAGGTTGGGGGAGTGAGCAGGGGCCCGTGGAAGCCACAGAGCCCAGGAGAGATCCAAAGTTGCTCAGGGCGACGGAGCGCTGCCCACTGTTGGGGTGGGGAGGGTGTGCAGGTGCCGGTCCTTCCTGGCCTCACCTGGATGCGTGCGATCACCTCCTGGAAGGCCGGACACTTGTCAGTCCAGGTGGCCAGCAGTTCTGCGGCTCGCTCAAAATTCTTGACATATTCGCTGTACATCTTCAAGAACGGGGCCAGCTTCTGGATGACATCACCAATGCGGGGGGTGGCTGTCCTGCCCGGGAAGGGGTACCAGGATTGCCCTCAGCCTGCTGATCTCCTGACTCTAGTCAGGGCAAGGTGAAGCCAGGCTCCCCGACTTCCCCCCGAAAAGGCTTTCTACTGCACTTCTGGGTGCAGGCAGGGGGCAGGCGTGTCAGCCTCCCACGCCTGTGTCCCATGCCCTTAGACAGCGAGCCCCGTCTCCCCAAGGGCAGAGGCTGCTCTTGTCTGCGGACTGGCCTCCCCACAAGGCCCAGCACAGCGCTGGGCCCACAGCAGGTGGGCAGTGACGACTTGAGGCTGGATTAGGTAACAATAACCAGGGCGACTTGCCTGGTACTGCCCAGGACACGCTGCATATCTCATTTCATTTAATTCTCACAACCCTGCAGGTGGGGACAGGTGTCAGCCCATCTTAGAGATGAAGAAACTGAGACTCAGAAGGGTAAGAGCTTATCCAGGATCATCATGTGGCCAGTTAGAGTAGAGCAGAAGGAGCCATGACCCCGCCTGACCACACCAGTCACAAGAGCTGTGTGTTCCCGGGTAAGTCACTTAGCCTCTCTGTTCCTCAATTTTCTCATCTGAAAAAACTGGGATGATGGTGAGTGACCTTAGAGCTTTTTTTTTTTTAACACATTTTATTATAAAATTGTTAAGCAATCAATCCCTCACTAGTGTAACCATTATTAACATTCTTCTTTGCCAAAGATTTTAAAGTACATCCCAGACATCAAGGCAAAATGTATAAAACAAGCAGTTTCGTCACTGAATACTTTAGTGGTCACCTCTGAAAACAAAAGGTTTCTTTTTCTTTTTTTTTTTTTAAACCATATTTTTTATTTTAAAATTGTTGGGTACAGCTGGGCTTGGTGGTTCAACCTGTAATCCCACACTTTGGGAGGCTGAGGTGAGTGGATTGCCTGAACCTGTGGGTTCGAGACCCGCCTGGGCAACTTGGTGAGACCTCATCTCTACAATAAATCAAAAAATCAGGCAG